CTGTTTTAGTGACTTTTAACTATTAGACTATGATGTATCCAGTATGGAAGTAGGCCTACATTTCTACAATATATACATTATTTAGATATGGTTATATTAAACAAATACTTTCATCATGTATCAAGTTATCACAGTACAGATACGTACAGATACATATCGGAGCATTTCTTTACTTTTTTGGTATTAATTGGAATAAATGGCGTAGATAATTTGTACAGGACGACCATGGAGATCTTTCGTCTGTGAATATGGACACTGCTGTTGCAATACGTACTCTTGAAACAACTTATAAATCATCCGCTGATGCTGCTGCTGTGGAGACTATGATAGTAAAGCTTACTGAGAAGGTCTGATGAATGAATGTCAAATTTTTCCTAAGCAATTTAAACCTTAGTTTTAGCTTCTACTTCTGCCAGTATGTTCCTTCCACTATCCTTTTGGAAAAGAAAAACTGAAAGAAAAAGAGAAGAAGAGGAAAACAGAGTACTTCAGAAATAATGCATCAATATTATTCCTTTTTTATTTTTGGTTTCTCAATCAGCAACATGAGGTAACTGTGATGTAGAAAAGTGCTTTGCTAATAGTCTTGGTAGTAAATTTCTTAGTGCATGCAACCCTTAATTTCTGCTTCCAGCAAAGGCTAAAGATCTTTAATTTAAGAACTTATTTTGGTTGTTGAAGGCTGGAACTTCTTGAGCGCTTCCACAAAATCGTTTATTAAAAGAGTGATGAAGATGTGTCTTGGCAAAAGTACATTTCTTTGTTTCACATACGATAAATTTAGTGTCACATGTACTTAGTCTGCCTATATGATCAACACATTGCAAATTGTGACCCAAAGTCAGGATAAATTGCAGATTTTTCTGTTGAGGGCATAATCCTACAATCTACAGAAACAAGTAGTAGGTTATTATAAAAACTCATCACTTCACTGCTTCCTAACGTGCTACTGTTTTTTCATTTCACTAGATTTTGCTTGAGCTATAATTTTTCATCAGGTGCATTATATGTAATACTTCCACCAAGCAAATTTCTAGAGTGGGTTTTTCATGCTTATGTTACAGGAAGGCCCATCTCTCAAAAGCAAGGGAAAGGCAAGCAATCCCACACGAATTGCAGTATTGACATGGAGATCATTGTTAATTATGTCAAGAGAGTGGAAATACTATTGGTTCCGACTGATACTTTATATGCTTCTTACACTCTGTATTGGTACTGTGTTTTCTGGATTGGGTCATTCCTTGTCGTCTGTTGTGGTAAGTTTGAGAATTTCTACATATCCTCCTTTTGTTCAATCTTTCTTAATTGGCGAATGGCTTGACATGCATAAGACGCATTCTCTGAGGATTAATCTTATTTTATCAAGTTAACCTGTTATTCCTTTTCTCTTTCTTGGTTTTTCTTGTATATACTGATACAATCAAGTTTTATGCTTGTAATATTTATTTAGAATTGGTCTGTTTAGTATACAACTCAGTTCTTATATTCAAACAAGTGACCTGTTGTTAGTTTTTGTTTCATGAGTATGTTACAAACTGTATGATTTGTGATGCAGAAGCTTCAATTACTGATGTTTTTGGCTTTTCAAAGATGTGGAATCTCTTGCTACTTTTGCTTCCCTAGCCATGTTCTTTCAGTTCATCAAGAATAGACAATTCTACCTGCATGCATCTAAGGACAAACATCTGTGAAACTTATTTCCAAAAATTAATGTTGTGACATTTCACCTAACAAAAGAGGGAATGGCTATTGCGTGGCATTGACTTGTGGCTGGACTAAAGCAAATAATAAAAATTATTTTTGGTCCTCCTTTTTCTCCTCCATTTGTTATTCTCTCTTTATATGTAGGAAAACATTTGTATCACAAAATGCTTTTTACTAGTGCTATTTTTATTCCACATGTGAGAAGGATTGTTTAGCGCTTTTTTTTGTTCTGAAATTGCAGACAAGAGTTGCAGCGATATTTGTGTTTGTGTCGTTTAATTCACTTCTAAGTGTTGCTGGAGTACCTGCACACCTGAAAGAAATTAAGGTAATGGGGTTGCTCCTCTTAATGCTAGTGTGGGTGCAAAGACAATGCACTTGTTCTGTGAAGTTGTCTGCTTGATTATCTTAACTATGTTCAGTACTTTTCACTCGGATAAGTTTTTAAGTGTTGTTGCTGGTGGTGAGATTGATCACCTTTCAGCAAGAGGGATTCACCATGACAGTCTACTTGCTCCCAAAAATTCCGTTCCATTCTTGTCCTCATGAAAGGAAGATGCTCCCAACCATTCTCATGCATCATCTCCCCCCAGACACCCCACACCCCATCCCAATCAACGCCTATTTCTGCCATTACCACCCATATATATGTCATCATCCACCCCCGTGAATTCACCTCTGGATATTGATGTTTAATATCACTGACTGCATTATACCTTCAGGGAAATAGATTTTGAATAAGATACTTACGCTCTTTAAGGCAATCGATAGGATGCATAGACAGCCATGATAATAAGACATTGAAATAGAAACCAAATGCACTAGACTTCAATAGAAGTGGAGAAAAATGACTTGTGTTATATTTACAGAATCAAGCTGCATGACATCATTATCAGTCAGAAGGTGAGCATGATCAGCATTTACTGTGTCCCCTGATTCAAGGGGCCAAATCCAAGAGCCAATACATTTGGTAACATTTATATGCATGCAATACAGTTGGTGCAGCTGTTGATAATATGGTGATCAATGTTATAGTTCTGGACGACATTGGCATGTAGAATTCTGCAGTTCATCATCTCTTATGCCTGAGCATTGCATATCTTTTACCTGTCATTTTTTGGCTCATCACTCATCTGCACTATTTCTTTGTATGTTATGCAGATATATGCCTGTGAAGAATCGAATTTACATTCTGGGACATTTGTCTTCTTACTTGGGCAGCTCTTTTCCGGCATCCCATTCTTGTTCCTCATCTCCATTTCCTCAAGTCTCGTCTTCTACTTCCTTGTAGGCCTACGGGATGAATTCAGTTTCTTGATGTATTTTGTGCTAAACTTCTTCATGTGCCTGTTAGTAAATGAAGGAATGGTACTGCTGATTGTTTCCATTTGCCAAGAGGTCTACTGGAGCATCTTAACATTGGTGTCAGTACATGTGAGTTCTGCTCTACCCTTTTTTCTGGAAGTTATTTTTCCACTAGTTCCTTTAACACCTTAAACCATTTCTGAGTATCAGTTCAACACAAATGAGCACCATTGTGCACATTACTAAATTGCAGCTGTTCAAAATACCCAATAGACCCAGTTATCGAGAACATTTCTAGGGCATGGTTGCTTGTATCTTGTCATTCTTAGACCGGTACATGAGCCTTTGAACTGATTTGCGCTTATATTCGCCCAAGTTGATTCTCTGGCTTTTTTCCCGTATGATAAATGCTACTGATTCTGCTGCAGGTGATAATGATGCTCTCAGCGGGCTATTTCAGAATTCGCAGTGCTTTGCCCAGGCCAATATGGATGTATCCCATATCCTATGTGTCGTTCCATACTTATTCTATCCAGGCAAGTTGATATCATTCTGATATGCCCAAAGTTGTATCATCAATTACGATTGATAAACCTTAGGGGCACTTCCAAGTCCTCCTTTCTAGGTGAAAGAATGTTCAACTTTACTTCCTCCCCCAGTCCTCCTGTCTGATTATAAGAATTGAAAAAAATTTGTAGTCAGAAACAAATTGATGTTAATCCAATTCTTTGTTTGACTTCAAAAGTTCTGTTTCTTTGGCTTCAGGGGCTCTTGGAGAATGAGTATATTGGAAGTTCCTATGCAGTTGGGCAGGTGCGGACTATCTCTGGTTACCAAGCACTTCGAAACGTATATGATATATCTACCAGCAGTAGCTCAAAGTGGGAAAATTTACTCGTTCTGTTTCTGATGTGTGCTGGATATCGTATTCTTGTATTCGCGTTGCTACAATTTTGTGTTAGAAAGAAGTTCCCTGGTCGTAGATTTTTCCGGTGTAATCGAGAAACGAACAATCCGAGATAAATCGTATGCCCTATCTGGGCATACTTCCGTCTTTAGACAATTTTGCATGAGGTAAAAATGAAGATATATAGAATTCAGAATGCGAAGTATCCATCATTGTTTTTGGCGATTTCGTCTTCTGAAATTCCATGGCTGAAATATAGTAATTCATTTTAGGCCGCTTGCCTGAATAATTAAATCATTGCGCCATGGCTTCAGCAAATGGTGAGACTTAATTCTTAGGAATGCGGTACACAGGAGATGGCATGTCAAGTTTGAGATTCCTCTCTCAAATTTTAGTTGAAACCTTGAAAACTGGGAGTTTGGAACTTTTTGGAACTCTTTTTTCATTTCTGGTAAACTTTTGGAACTTCTTTATCGCTTGACTTCCTTTGGCATCAATGGCATGTGTCTTGGACTGCATTGGGTTGGCTTCCATGAATGGTGACTATTCTTGGCTCCCCCCATCTATACCCGCCCAGAAGAGTGTTCCTGCTGTCCGCACGAGCCCCCTTTTCCTCCATGATCATGTCCACAATCGCTTTGCAATCTGATTGGAATTCCACTTCCTTCCATTGTGCTTCTGAGGCCATCATCATTCCCATTTTGAGTGCTGCAGCTTCCTCCACCAGTGGTTCGCTTGATTATGCCTCAGATCTTACGCATGCTTTCAGTAGTCTTCCTTTCCAATCTCTAGCAACAATTCCCGTTCCATTTCTGTCCAGACCTGTTGAGAAGGCAGCATCTGCATTGATCTTTACGACTCCTCTGCTTGGTGGTTTCCAGCTTTCTACAGTAGTTGATTGATAGGTTTGCTCAATGTACTCCCCACTTCCACTGTTCTGAGCTTCTATAAATTCTGTCCACTCCAGTTGTGCTTTTTGTACAGCGAGACCTACATCTACATTCATCTTCAGAGAAAATCATTGACATGGTAACTCCATAATTTTATACACATGTTACTCAAAATGCGGGTTGTCAATTGGCAATTGGCAATTGGCATGATAAGTGTGATGAATCATCTTTTTGGCTCAATCTGTAACGAACACGAGCTACACATAACCCAAAGAAAAGGATCTAATGCAGCCTTAATATCACAGCATAATCCAAGTCAAACCTTAAGTTATGGTTGCATTCGAGGTGTCCAGCTAAATTGTTGGATGCTATCTATCAACTGAAATAAAACAGTGACTCAAGCTAACAAAGCGATACCATTTTTGAATATGCTTCTACTTGAACACTGGCAGCAACTGCCACCAACCAATCACCCTTTTTTCTTGTATACATATCACATTGGTGATTAGACAGTCAAGAAATGCAGTTGGATGATTGAATCTGAGTTTTCTTCTGAATAGCTTGATGAAAATCATTGATGAACTGATCCATGTTTCTTTCCGATGATCCTTCTCTTGACACAGCGTGTTCCATTGTCCTTCTTAGTTCCTTGATTATGTTTTTGAGCTCATGGTTGCCTGATTTGATAAGAATGTTAATCTTCTCTGATACTTCAAGCTTAGTGATCTGGCTTTTGTCGCAAAGATTGATTCCAATCTTCCAATCAACCACTAGTTTGCGATTAGTGGGTTGATCAGCGATGAGTGGAAAACACATTAAAGGTACTGCATACCAAATGCTTTCCAAAATTGAGCTCCAACCACACTGAGTGAAGAATCCCCCAATTGCAGGGTGACTCAAAACTTGGTTCTGGAAGCACCAGGGTATGATCATCCCACGGTCGCCAGTTTCTTCCCTGAACCCTTTAGGCAATGGATCAGAATCATTAGAGCTTACAATATCAGGACGAAGCACCCAAACAAAAGTTACTTGGCTTAGTTTAACACCGTCAGCTATCTCCTGTAGTTCATTCTTTGTAACATGAGCATAGCTTCCAAAGGAAATGTACAAAACTGAGCCAGTAGGCTTGGTATCGAGCCACTGAGTGCAGTCAGACTTGGACCAAAGGCTTGTGGCCACTGCCACACGGCATTTGGTGAATTCCAATAGGGGTCCTATAGCGTAAAAAGGCACTTTTTTCCGGAGATCTGTCATGGCTTGGAGTTCTAGTTCGTGTATATTGTTGCTTAACACAAAATCTGCTTTCTTTGCATCGTGGATTGCCTTGAAAGTGATCTGATGACAGATTGTGTTTGTCTCCTCTTCTTGAAGATATGACGTCAAATCCTTAGGCTCAATGGATTGAACCCCTGGTATGTAGTCTATTGCATCCTCGCGCCTGTCTGATCACAAGAAAGCTTAAGTCTTAGCGGAATATACTTTTTGATGCGATTGAATTTTGCTCAGGTAATAATACGCTTATAGGGAGAGGGGGAGAGAGACTACCAATGCAATCGAAGTGACCATTTAATCTCAAAAGATCCAGATGATAGTAAATGGTGAAAACTGTAGCTGGTTGTGTCCAGAAAGAAGCATACAGAAGTCCATGTTTCTTTGCAACACGCCCAAGCTGCACAAGGAATGAATCAGCAATCACGCAACTCACTGGAGGTCCTGATTCCATAAGTCTTTGAACAGCTTCGTCTATGTGAGCAGAGAAGACATGGAACATTGCAGCCATGAACTGATCATGGTTGAGTGACCTATCAAACTCTAGAGGAAGACCATCGGACACGGTGGTGTAATGAATATCAAGTCCTGATTTCCTTGCATCAGAAAAGATGTCTTCATCGCTGTCCTTTTGAGTGTTGGAGGTGATTTGGTGATGTATGGATTGAGTGTTGATGAAGGTTATGGTGAAACCTTTTGATGCTAGCTTGATCGCTAACTGGACTGCAGGATTAAGATGGCCTTGCAGTGGAAAGCATACTAAGATGGCATGAGGCTTCTGTTGTATACAATCCATTTTTAAATCTTTTCTTAACAATGAACCTTTTTTTGTGAATGAGCTGAGTAGGTAGAGTTGCAAACGGAGGTTGAAGGGAGGCCAAAGATGAGACAAAATGTGTTCAATAACGTAAAGAGATGTCTAATTTATCAAATTGCAGGAGAAGCTTATCACGTAAATCAAATTGAGTGGAGAATGCAGATGACACTGACGGATTTCTCTTTCCTAGACATTAGTTTATTTTTGTTTCGTTCTTATTCTTATCCGTGCCGAATATTCCAAACTCCAATACATGGTTCATCTTTCGAGACACTTAATTCTTTTTTTTTTTTTTGTAAGTTTCGATACGCCTATATAGGGATGTGGGCTAGTCAAGCCCATGGTCAGATTAATTGACCGAGTTCGAGCTCAAGTTTAAGTTACTGGTTCTGTGTAATGAGTCGAGCTTGAGCATCAATAATAACTATTCAAATACTTGACGAGATTAATCGAGTATTTATATTATTTATATAGTATATATTATAATTATGGAATGATTATTATGAGTTCGTATTTTAATAAATTTACATGAAATAATGCTTAGTAAAAAAGTGATGGATGGCAAATGATTCTAATAAATCTAAAATGTAAAAAAATTAAAAACAAGAAAAGAAAAACTCGAGCTCGAACTTGATAAGGTTTGCAGTTGATAGGATGTAAATTGTAGTACATTTACATGCATAAGTTGCTAGATAACCATGTTGTTTGAACTTTATGTTGAGTAGAAACTACTTAATTTTACTTTTATATTGTTCTAATAGGTGAAAACTCAATTAGAGAGAAAACGGACTAAAAACGTGATGTGAAGAAGCAATGGAGAGGAAAAAGTCAACAGTAACGGATTTTGCAGAATTGATATGTTTCAGTAATTTGGTGATAACTTGAGCTACATAAATCTGATTAAGATGATTCTTAATTCAAGTTGAAGCTAAGAGAATTCTCTATAACCTTTATGGGGACTTCAAAGTTTGGTTCTCACATTTTTATAGTTAAAAATCTAAATTACTGAAATATAGTTGCACTATGATGCTCTTACAACTAGGTCTCAGTATTTTAGGCACATCTTAACATCCAAACCTCCAAATGACTTGATTATTGCAGTGTTGGAGTTTTGAGACTTCAAAGAGGATCCATGTGCGGATCCGTACCAATCCGCCAACGGATCCATGTTTCACGCCAGACATCTCCAGATTCTTTGGCTCAACCCAATGACCAGCGCCGGATATTGGGCCCATCATTGGGCCGGTTTTCATTGAATAAATGTTCAAAAAACTGATTTTTCTAGTCCAATAGAGTCTATTCCTACTTTGTTTAGAATATATTTTCAAGAAACTAAAAAGAGGGGTTTTTTAGGTCGTTTTTAAGGGTGGAAAGCATTAGCCTTGCCTAATTTTAACATCTTTTCATAGTTTATTCTTGAGAGATCAAGGTCAAATGGAAGCTAATCAAGGAGCGCGCAAGGAGAATATTGGAACAAGCAACTGAGAAGTTTTCTTACTTTTTCTCTTATCTTTGTATCAACTCTTTGAATTTGTAGTTTTAATTTCTAAATCATATTGAACTAAATTGTTTTTAGGGTTAGGGTTTTTATGAAAGAACTTGATTCATTTTCTTAGTTTAATTCCTTGCTCTTTACTATGATTTATTTATCTTGTTCTTAATGTTTGTTTATGCCTGATCACCATAAACAAGAATGTTGGGTGCATGTCAAATTGAGAAAAGAGATACAACTGTGTACTAGATAAATAAACACATATAGACTAATCACGAGAGTAGGTTAGGGTATGTGTGACGCACCTATATCACTGAGAATCTTAATGGGTTTAATTAAATTCTTATGACTATCGAGAGAAACGTAGGGTTTAATTAAACACGCTTTAGATGCTTTGAGAAGTGGTCTAAAATATAGTCGTATGATGAGCGTTCCTAATTTGGAAAGAAATTAACTAGATAATAACTCAAATTTTGGATTAAAATCTCAAATCCTAGACTCACATCTATTATTTTTTTCACCACTACTTTATTTAAATTGATCGTTTCTTTTATTGCTTAGTTAAAAAATACACTCATTAAATTTGAATTTTGTTATTTTGTTAGAATAATTAAAGTAGAAAATTAACTCGTCCTTGTGGATTCGACTCTGGAACACTCCAGGTAAATTATTATTACGATTGACCTTATGCGCTTGTAAGAATTTGTCAATCAACAGTTTATTCGAGCTCAAATGAGTCGAGTTCGACTTTAATCTCTATTATGTTGAGTCGAGTTTGAGCTCAAATTTAAATACTCGTTTGAACTTAAGATCGAGATCGAATAACATTGATAGTGATCGAGTTCGAGTTTGAGCACGGTGCTACTCAAACTTGACTTAGCTTTGGCACCCCTACATCTATTCGACTATAAACAATGAAGTATACAACAATTTTCTATATTTGGAATGTCCGAGATGAATGTTCTGGCTAATAACTATGTTGATTGTGTTGCCGTTTTTGACCCAAAAAAAAAAAAACTATGTTGATTGAGCTTTCATTTTCATTGAATATTGATTGAGCATTGATTTGTTACAGGTATATAGATACACGGACAACATTATCCCAGGCAATAGAACGTATGCGTTATTTTTTTCATGAATTGAAAAATATCATACAACCTGCAGTATAGAAGTACGAACTATCAAGAATACCTAGTTTATATTTTTAAACTACTTAAAAACACTCGGGAACTAATTAACAACCTTCTGCGTTTGGTTTTTCTTCTCAAGAGTGATCTTCAAATCTCTGATAAATCGGTCCATATTTTTCTCTGACGATCCATCTTCTTTTAATGCCTTTTCTAATGTCTTTTTCACTACCTTGATTGCATTTCTGAACTCATCCCCTGATTTCTTACTCATCAAACGGTTGATCTTCTGCGAAACTTCAACCTGAGTAACAGATACTCTATCATAAAGATTAGCTCCAATCTTCCAATCATCCACCACTAGTTTCCGATTAGTAAACTGGTCAGTATACAAAGGAAAACATAATAATGGAACTTCACACCAAATGCTTTCCAAAATTGAATTCCAACCACAATGAGTCAAGAACCCTCCAATTGCAGGGTGCCTTAACACATTTATTTGACAACACCAAGGTATGACCATCCCCCGGTCACTGGTCGCAGCTCTGAATCCATCAGGCAACGGATTACGATCCTCAGAGCTAACAATATCAGGTCGAAGCACCCAAACAAAACTAATATTGCTTTCTTGTATACCATTTGCTATTTCCAACAAATCCCTTTTTTGGACGTGAGCATAGCTACCGAATGAAACATACAAAACTGAGCCAGGAGGTTTGGTGTCTAGCCAATGGGAGCAGTCTGACTCGGACCACAGGCTCGTGGCCACACAACTCTTGGTGAACCCTGATGGAAATAGGGGTCCGACTGGAAAAATTGGAAGTTTCTCCTGTAGAGCAGATATGGTCTCGGGCTCGAGTTCTTCTACTGTGTTACATAGTACAAAATCTGCATCTTGTGCATCCTTGAATGCCTTATAGATAATTTTGTGGCATACTGATGATGGGTACATTTCTTGGAGATATGATGGCATATCCAGGGGTTCTAATGGTTTTACACCAGGAATGTAGTCAATGGGGTCTTCACGCATGTCTAGTAGGAAAAAAAAAGACAAAACAAATATTCAACCATCAACAAGTGGCTATAAATAAATTGAATTCCCGCTATATTCTTATAAGTCAGTCACTGGAGGAGTATCAAAGTGTGATCAGGCCAAAAGAAAAAGTTTGACTTGGTTCAGAATATTATTTTGTTTTCATTTTATCTGACATGGTGAAGTTGGTAATTTTTTTCTTTCTTTCTCTTTAAATCTTGGTAGTTTGTAGATCCCAAAAAGATCCAGATGACAGGAAAATTTACGTACCTATGCAACCAAAGTGGCCATTGAGCCTCAAAAGATCCAAATGATAATACAATGAAAAAACTAAAGCCGCCTCTGTCCAAAGAGAAATGTATACAAGTCCATATTTCTTAGCCAACATGCCAGGCCATACAAAGAACGTATCAGCGATCAAATAACTAACAGGAGGTCCAGACTTGACAATCTTTTGAACTTCCTCTTCAACATGAGCTGAGAAGACATGCAACAAAGCAGCCATGAACTGGTCATGATTGAGTGACCTATCGAATCCTAGAGGAAGGCCGTCGGGCACGGTGGTGTAACGAATATCGAGTCCCGATTTTCGTACTTCAGCAAAGATATCTCCTTGGCCATTAATGGTTTTATCTCCTGATGTAATGTTGTTATGTATGGATTGAGTGTTGATGAAGGTGATGGTGAAACCTCTTGAAGCAAGCTTGATGGCCAAATGGACCGATGGGATTACATGGCCTTGTAGAGGATAACTAACCAAGATTGCATGAGGCCTTTGGGGAGAAATTGCCATTTTTTTGAGCTTGATCAATTGTCTGTGAGGAAGAAGAAAGGAAGAAGAAAGAGTATGGAAGAGAGTTAGCGAGGATGTTTAGGGTGTACTTGGCTTTCTTACGTAGAAGTTATAGGGTTAGAAAATCTCATACTAAATATACTAAATCGAGTCTATGGACATAATCAAGATTGGTATGACCGAAGAAGCCTTCTTTCCGGAGGAGGGACTCAATATATATTGCCAACTATAGAAAAAGCTGCTTCATGTGTGGAAGATCTCTTTGTGGAATAATGCAATGTACCATATATGAAAGTTGATCGAAACTTCAGCCATGGCAGACCATTGAGGATTTGAGACGAAAACGCTTTTTTATTCAACGTCAACGGACATCATAGGCCCCCCTGATATTTTTATTCAGAAACAATTCTAAGCAGTTGAGCCAAGTCAAAATCATTTGAGCATGTTAATTTGGTACTTACGCCATTGTTAATTTTTTAAAATTATTTTAGTAGAGGAATGATGGAATTTAAAGAACAGAAAGGGAGAAGGGGGCATTTGAGACCAAACTGTAAATCCTCAATTCTCAAGTTTAGCCACTAATCCAATACATTCTCAATCATTGTAAAAATTTATTCCACACAATTGGTGTTGACAAAGAATGGTGTCCTATGCGCGAATAGGCA